AAAATACTCGGTCTATGTACCTCTTACAGACGCGACCGCCGAAACCACAGTGATAGCGTTTATTAATAACTTTATATGTAAATTCGGATGTCCGAGAAGTATACTCACGGACCAGGGAACTAATTTTACTAGCCACCTCATGAAAACTATTCTGAAGAAATTCCAAATCCTGCAATTACAAACTACCGCGTTCCATCCGCAGTCTAACGGTTCGCTAAAACGATCTCATCACGTATTAACCGAATTCCTAAAATGTTTCATTAGCAGAAAGGAAGACTGGGACGAACTAATAGAAAGAGCTAACTTTTCATACAACACTTCGGTGCACGAGGGTACCGGATTCACCCCGCACGAGTTAATATTTGGAACCTCCGCGCGCACGCCATCCGGATTAAATCGCGAACGAGAACCCGATACATACGATCATTATTTATTGAACCTATTCGTTGAAATCTCTGATATTCAGCAACTTGCGAAAGCCAACCTAGAAAAGTCGAAACTAAAATCTAAATATTACTACGACTGACAATTAAATGTACAGAAATTCTCAGAGGGAGACTGGATACTTCTATTAAACGAAAGGAAAACGAGAAAGTTTGATAGCGAGTACATAGGGCCGTTCGAAATTGCTGAGGTACTCGCTAACAAAAACGTAAAAATAAAAATTAGGAGCGATCACTTTAGAATCGTACACACAAATAAACTCAGAAAAGCACACTATAACGAACGCGAATAACGCAAGAAGTTCAACAATTTTGTAAAAGAATTACTAATCTGATCTAAATACTAATTCTTAATCAACAATATATTATAACAAATTCGGATAAAAACGAAACCCCTATAAATTTGTAAAAGAATTATTAATCCAACCTGAAAGTATTATTAATTCTTAACCAAACTAACAGCATTGTAAATATTGTAAATAATTCACGTTATAAACACAGCTAACCAACAAAATATATTGTAATAACGTTAATAACAAAAAAAAAAGAAAAAAAACACAAATAAAAGAAAAGGAAAGGAAAAACAATAATAGCGAAAACAAAATGAAACAAAAAATTTTTAAACGATACAAAAGCAAACAAAAAAATAATAACAATATAAATAAATAATCACGTTGGAACTTTCTAACCACTACTTTAATTATAATACTACACGAATATTCTTAATAAACTAAACAATTAACGTTAAAAGGTGGACCCTAAAACCATTTTCTTTTTCTGTAAAAATAATAAAAGGGCAAAATATATTATAACGCCCAGAAAATCCGTTTCTGCACAAAACAGTGCCAAATTATTACTTTATGTTACGACTTTATATTATTTTTTATTTGTCTATTATTGTTGTTATCGCTACAGATAACTAGCGCCATTACTATTATTATTTTATTATTATTTACTACTCATTACATTTTTTTTCTCTTCTATTACCATTATTATCGCTGCGAGTAACTAGCGCTACTATTATTATTATTTTAATTCCTTTTTTTCTTTTCCCCATACATAAATGTACAAGTCGACAAGCTCCTGGTCGCGACGCTTCCTACAATACCGCCGCTCCGACATAAGGGGGGGGGGGGGGTAACGTACGGTGCGCCTACAATATAGCGCCCCGTCCGTTTACCAAGCGAGCGCAAGCACGGAGTATAGCGAACGATACAATACGTGCCTACTACAATCACGTTCAGCTATAGGCCAGGCCACCGAAACCGTCGCGATTGAACGCCGCGCGTACCGCGCCTGCGCCAAAGTATAAATATTAAAACCAATGCAAGAATGCACTTTAACAACAAACCATCGATACTACGGGATAAAGAATAATTAAAGATAACAATCAACCTTGACGCAGCTGCAGGGAAAACCCACAGAACCACGCGAAATTAATAACAGTGCATGACACCAATGCAATGCATCGCCGTGCAATCCCGAATGCACCAACCGGTCACAAAAGGCCCCTGTATAAGAACAAAATCATCGCGGATAAAACCAAAGAGCACATAACTTAGAAAAGGCCTTAAATAAACATCAAATTCCACGCGCACAAAGAATAGAAGGATCCGGAACGATACAAGAAACTTGTAATGAAAAAACGAGCAGGAAACTAATGCAAGCCCTGCCGCAACGGGCTGCAATACGCGACGACTGAGCGCGCCAGTACGAAACTCGCGA